AATGTATAATTATGTTTATCAGTCTGTGGTACCCCTAACATAGGGAATACTAAATTGGGACTGGGATGACCGTGCGTGATTTGTTCCAAGTTCTTTATTTATTTGTTGACGTAATAATTTGTGTCAAGTCATTAAACGATTTCCTAGTTCTTCTTCACATACACGACCTTTGAAATTATTACAGTAATGTACTTGTACTGTAATAATGTACTTAATTTATTAACATTAATTTGGACGATGATAATAATTAAAATCTAGGTTATAGCCAACCTAGTATAGGCGCCCAGGTCTTATATGAGAGAGAAATCACAACTACTCTCCAGAGTTCATCCATGTATGTTAATAGATATGTATTTTATGTGTTTTCCGAAATTTCCTATAAAATTAAGGACTGATTAAATTCAAAGCAAGAATTATCTATTGTGACGAAACTGATAAAAGAAACACGATATAAATGTAATTTACCCTGATATCTTAATTTATACTCGTAGTATTAGATTTGGTAATTGCTGATAAAATAGACTACACAAAAAATCTAGTAACTTAAAAAAGTCTGTCCAATTCCAACCACTTTCTAACATTAGTAGAGTCCTATTCAATAGGTTTTTTTTTTAATTTTTACAAATTTTTTACTGGTGGTAGTAGGACATCTTGAGTCCGCAGGGTAGATATCACCACCCTGCCTATTTCTACCGTGAAGCGGTAATGCATTTCGGTTTGAAGGGTAGGGCAGCCCATGTACTGTTAAAACTGAGACTTAGAGCTTATGTCTCGAGGTAGGTGGCGGCATTTACGTCGTAGGTGTCTATGGGCTCCTATAACCACTTAACACCAGGTGAGCCGTGAGCTCACCTACCCTATCATGCAATAAAAATAAATGCAATAAAATTATGTTGAAACGCGGAAAAACTATACATAATTTTAATTATTCCAAAGACACATAATATTTGCTTCGGCACAGTGCGCAAGTAGAGTATCAAAGAACAAATATGCCGAGGATTGATTGTAATATCTTATTTACAGTCGCTATCTTTACATCACATTGCAGTAGCTAACCAAACACAGAACGCAAACATTAAGTAATTATTTTCAATTAAAATACATTTTTTGTACAGGAGGTTGCTATAAAAATTGAAATAAATTTAAGTTCTTCATAATCATCGCTTATATTACTTATTATGATTTTCTTAAGTCGTTCTTGTTCGTTTTTGTGTCTTTTCTTTAGTTGATCTATATATTAATACGTAAAGCAAAAACTTTGTATCCCTTTTTACGAAAATTGCGCGGACGGAGGAGTATGAAATTTTCCACACTTATAGAGAATACCTATAGAGAAGAAGTGCACAATGCTAATATTTTTTTAAATAATGCATAAAAGCTACAACAAATCAATAAAGAAAACATTACACACACTACATACCATGTATTTGACGCACACACGCATGCATAGGACAATTTATTGTCAAACTTTTATTCTTGACGTCTGTTGTCAAATTGAGATTAAATATTGTTTGTCTTTGTTAATATTTTTTATAGTGTCTTGGCGAAATTTGTGATTATCTAATATATAAAATTCTCGTGTCACAGTTTTCGTTGCCATACTCCTCCGAAACGGCTAGACCGATTTTGATGAAATTTTTTGTGCTTATCCGGTATCTATGAGAATCGGCCAACATCTATTTTTCATCCCCCTAAATGTTAGGGGTAGTCCACCCCTAATTTTTTATTTTTATTTTTTAGACAAAATTTTTAATTTCTATTTTTTTATGATACAACATACAAAAATACATACAATCCTCAATTTTCACCCTTCTACGATCAACCCTTATTTTTTATTTGCTAATTAAAAACTTTAAATTTTTTTGCGAGAATTTTGTTTTTATTTTGTCATGACGTAGAATAAAAAAAATCATATTACTCTTAAATTTTCATCCCTCTACGATCAACCTCTATTTTTTATTTGTTAATTTTTAAACTTTAATTTTTTTGGCAAGATTTTCGTTTTTATTTTTATTTTGTCATGAATTAAAATAAAAAATCTGATGTTACTCTCAATTTTTCATCCCTCTATGATCAACCCCTATTTTTTGTTAATTATAAACTTTAATTTTTTTGGCAAGTTTTTTATTTAGTTTTATCATGACTTAAAATAAAAAAAATCATATTACTCTCAATTTTCACTCTTATACGATCAACCCCTATTGTTCCATCCGCAATAAGGTTGCAAGATGGCAATCAAATATTATAATTGTAGTACGATAAATTCTTATTCAGAGTTTATAATTTCAAGTTCCTTTAATTATGATTTTTTTTAAATTGAATTTGAGCTCCCGCGCTCGCCGGTCGACTACTGATCAACTATCAATCGATCAGCTATCCCCACCAGGTGTCACCACTGATCCAGCAAACATCACGTAGTAGAGATGGGGACGAAGCCGGTCTCCTGTCTTACTTACTCACTATACATCATAGATTATACACTTAATATATTTGAGAGCTATACAATACTATACATTTTTCAGCCATGTTTTGTTGGTTTTATTTGTGTATCAATAGTATGTTCAGTAGGTCTGAGAATCGGCTACTATCTATTTTTCATACCCCTAAGTGAAAAGGGTTGTCCACCCCAAACCTTTATTTTTTATTTTAATTTTTNCACTCGCACATGGCGCAGCTCGTCGCCGCCAGATGTCACGCGCCTCTCACCGCGCCTCGCAACGCACCGCAAAACGCACCGCCAGTAGCTGTGGCATACTTCATAGGTTGTCTACCATTTGTTTTCGCCGCTCCCGCTTGCCGCGCCTCACGACGCACCGCAATTCGCACCGCTCTCGGCTGTGGCCAAGGGGTAAGAGTTACCACTTATAGTCAGAAATCACTTAACACCGAAACGCGAGCTTTTTGATTTGTCTACGAAAAATCCATGAATCCTTTCGATTCATTTATTCTCTGATACATCTCAGCCTGCAAAATCATCCCTCAGATATATTACCAAATCAACCCTTGTTGATTTACTATGATAAGAAATGAATACTTAGTGCTTTAGAAATAATACGAAGTCTGATAAAATTTTGCAGTACAGAAATTACGACTGGAACATAAAAGAGCGAATTACTTTGTTCATTTCCACAACACAGTACAGGTGTAAGAATAGCGAAAGCCCACTATTTAAGTTCAAGAGAGAAAATATGTCGGCAGTAAATTAGAGTTAGAAAACAATGGAGCCGAGGGACCCCACAAGCGGAGACCGTGCTGCATTTTTCAATGGATCGTACTGTGACCATGCTTTTATAAACAGAATTATACGATTCAAATAAATAAATACTTTTTGTTCACTCGGTACTCTTTGTTCAAGACCGCCCTGCCTGTTTCTGCCGTGAAGCAGTAATGCGTTTCGGTTTGAAGGGTGGGGCAGCCGTTGTAACTATACTTGAGACTTTAGAACTTTTAACTCAAGGTGGCTGGCGCATTTACGTTGTAGATGTCTATGGGCTCTAGTAACCACTTAACACCAGGTGGGCTGTGAGCTCGTCTACCCATATAAGCTACAAAATAAAAAAAAGAAATACGACACAATAGAGCCGCTACATCCAATTTTATAATTACCTCAACAATGATCAGTGCTGGACCGTGGAGAGAAATTCTTAACAAAAGTGAAGTAAGAAAAATGTTCTGTAAAAATTATCTGTTGGTGAACAGAGCGGTTCTAGATAGAGGAATGCACTCTGCTCCAATTCAGTGCATCATAGAAAGGAATAAATATATGATAGAAAGGGAAAACCACAAAATTTAAAAAAAACATCACGAAAAGTTGTTATGAAGTATGGGAACTGTGTTAATTCATTAAAGTAAGTGTTACTATGGTAGATAAAATAAACTTACAAATCTTTTTGATTTATTTTCTTAAAAAAACGTATGTGACCTTTAAGATCAATACAAAAGCACTGTAATATTTAGGATGGACATATATTTATGATTCAATATTAACTATGAAGATATTCTAAAGCATTGTCACCCTACATCAACACAATAGTGTACGGACATATAAAGCCGGTGGACATGCCGTCCGAACCTCGACAGGACAAACACTGATAAGTAGAAAAAAAAATACATATATTTAAGCAACAAAGTTAATTACAACAGTTTTTGTGGGAAATTTCAGACAACAAAGTTTCTTCTACATACGGTTTTAAAGTATTGTCAATTTAATGTTTTACATTATTCATTCTACAGCTAAATCTCGATTATTTTGATTAGTTGACATCTTCTTCGAGTACACGAATGATAAACTAAACAGGTTACTGAACTCTTAATAATGTTTTGTTCAACTAATGAAGAAGGAAAAACCCCACAGAGTTGCTCATCGGATCTTCTCAATGGGTTGCGTTTCCGATCCGGTGATAGATTCTACGAAGCACTGCTCTAGCTAGGGCTAGTGTTAGCAACACTTCCGGTTTGAGTCCCAAGAGCTCACGTACACGCCAGGGTAACGCTGATATAGCCTCTCAAGGCTATCAGCATAGATACGAACAAAAAAAAAGGAAGGAATAGAGGAATAACTAAGGAAACGAATATAATAAACAATACTATTGCACTTACATAGGTATACCAAAATAACGAAGAACGTATACAGATAGATACATAGTACCGAATACATAAAAAGTAAATCAGAAAATTTTTACTTATAACTAAAGGACGAACTTATCGCTGAAAACGATCTCTAATAGACACCCGAGTAGTTCTTTTTTTTTTAGTAAAATTGACGAAACATGGTAAACACGTTGATGCTCATTTATTATTCAAGTTAGGCAGTCAATCAAAAGTGACTTTTAATGCAGAACAGAATTAATACTGAAACAAACACTGCACTGTATGCACAGGTGTCGTGTTTCTTTGAAATACTGATAAGTACTATAACAGAAATGTTCTATCAATAAAACGAGTTAATATTTAGATTGCAAACATGAAACAAATAGACGACAATTCGTATATTCAGTCACGATCTCATTTCCAACGAAAATGGCTGAACTCGAACCACTAAAGGCAGAAGTCCCCGACAAAAAAACACTCAAAGAAAAATACCTTTACATAAAAGAAAACGCAACGGTCGAACCAGTTTTAGCTTTCTACGTGATACCTAGTGTTCTGACTAAATTAGCTAGCCAAAATCTTAGTCTTGATAAAGCTTGTCGAGTCAACAAGAACTACGGAGAGGAAATCTGTGATGCTCTTCTAAATAGAGAGGGAACAAAGTACTTAAAAGAAGAATTAGATATCCAAGAACTGATAGCTGGTATAGAAACATGGAAAAATGTATTATTAACTGCGATGCCAAGTTTCTTAATACTTTTTCTCGGGGCGTGGAGTGATAGAACGGGAAAGAGAAAAATGTGTATTCTCTTACCAATAATAGGAGAGCTTCTCGCATGTATCAGCAATTTGGTCAACACGTATTTCTTTTATGAGCTTCCGGTAGAAGTCATGGCGTTCTTTGAAGCTTTCTTACCAGCTGTTACTGGTGGATGGGTTGCTACTTATATGGGAGTGTTCAGCTACATCAGTGATGCGTCCAGTGAGGAAACTAGAACATTTAGAGTGGGCATCGCCAACCTCTGTCTGACGGCTGGTTCTCCCATTGGATCAGTATTAAGTGGTATTATTTTGAAGCACGCTGGCTACTACGGAGTGTTTTCTTTGAGCTGCTTGCTATATTTTATTAGTATTATTTATGGTTTCGTGAACATAAAAGATAAAGTACAAAGTTTTCCGGAGAAAAATGAAAAGGTAGGTGATTTTAGTAATCGAAAAGAAATAATCAATTACGGATACAATCTGTTTATTTATATTTAGTTCATTCTGCAAAATTTAAGAACTTTAATAATTTTTTATTATACCCAAATTAAGTTCAAAAGAAATACTGTTTATTTTCTATTCAAATTAAGTATCAGTATAAAAATTAGGCGCTACTAAATATCTTTTGGGGCATTATAATTTAGCGGTAGCAGAACTTATGAAAAATTCACAAAGTGCGTTAATTTCAATTAACTGTTGTAAGTAAAAATTTGAGAATTCTAAGTATCTAGTTGATAGAGAGCAGCAGACACATTTATTACATCATCCTTTAACAATAAACAGTGGAGTCGCTTAAGCAGTTACTTCATTTTCAAAACCTTAAAATATCAAAAGTCTACCGAGAAAAAACACATTCTCCGTCCAAGATCTTAGCTTTGCATGAAGAAATATTAACAATTTTTTCCCTAAGGTTGTACGTCAGGCAGCGTCATCGATTGTATAAATATTTTGATATTTAAAAAGCAGGGCTGGCCTATTTCTGTTGCAAAGCTAATATGCTTTCCATTTTATAGAATCAAAGATTTAATTTAAGTTAATAATTAGACTTCATGTCACAAGGTAGCTAGTAGTCAACTAGTATTGTATGTGAAAATATTAGTTATAAAATAATACATTTACTGTCCAAAATATTTTTTTTGTACCGACCTAAGCCCCCGATGCGCCAATAATACAGAACCTACTATCATTAATCGTTATTACGAACTTCCTCAGAGAGAAAGCCATAAACCTTCCACTTCAATACATACTAAGTCGAATCGAAGGACAATGCATCTTTTCAATACTTCCAGGAAGAAGCTAAGAGCCCGTGCGGCTTTCTTAAGTCGTTCTTCGACATAAAGCACGTCAAGGACACTTTAAACGTCGCATTCAAGAAAGGACCTAATCACCGTAGGACAAAGTCTATTTTGATACTAGCTATGATCGCTTTCATTTATGGATCTTCGACTGGTGGGCTTAATTGTTATTTTTATTTATGTAAAAATTTAAGGAGATACACAATTGTACATATTACATTCTAACTCAATGTCATAAGCAAGCTTGGTAGCATTCGCATAGAATCATTTATCATTGATAACCAAATCACGCAATTTTGTTAGCTTGTCCTTTTTCTTGTTACAATGTTAAGAAGAATAAATAAATAAAGAGAACTAGAAATAAACATAAATGTCATTTATAATAATAATAATAAATTAAATTAATAATTTATTAAATAATTATTATAAAATGAAATTAAAAAATTAATAAAAAACACTAAAAGGCGTAACATGCATGAATTATCTTGTTATGATTCTGCAATTGTTTTCGGAAAAACTAATTTTAAATTTAGAAAATTTTCGTATTAAATGAGCACAAATTAAAGCTCCTTAACATTATCATCAAACTTTTTCAAAGTAATTTTATTTCTTCCCTAAATTATTTATTTCTTTTTTTCATCAAAAAGCAAAACTTTTTACTTGCCACATTTTTTTAAATGAAATCACCATAAAGTCGTTTAGACATAATAAACATAGTGATTACCCTAACATTTACAAATGACTAGGCTTTAAGCTCGTATTTTTAGTTATTCTTAACCTCACCAATAAGTTCATTAAGCAACCTAGGTACAATAATGGCATAGCACTATTATGGTTTCAGGTGAAAATACAGTGAAATATCTTTTCTGTCGCTACAGATTTAATTGGGATGCTCTGAACTACAGTTTCTACAACACGTTTTACATCTGCATACACTTATTGGGTAAGTCCTTTTAAAAAATCGAATTCGGATAAATCAAATTCAATATGTCCAAAAACATTTATTATTGGTTTTGTCATTCGTAGGTACGATTAAAATCACTTTAGAATTTATTAAGGTGCGATTAGATATTTAGGCCACAAACTCGCAATTAGAATTTAGAAATATAGCTACGGAATACGGTGCAATAAATGCACAACTAACTGGAGTTTGAATAGCATTAGCAGTAAATTTTTATTATGTATACATATTCAATTTAAATCTGTTTAGATCACTTGCGTAAACATTGCATGGCATTTTATCAGGGTTTTTAGGAAATCGACACGGTCAGAGTACTGTTCAAATATGTGGCTAATTTAAGAAGAGATAATAATAAAGAGGCCTACCTGGTATTATGTGAGTGTTGGGGATTATTATTTAAACTGGAACGAAACATTGATAATTTAGCAATGTAATCAAGTAGAATAATTCTATCTGAATTATCTTCATTTTGACGTACGTAGAGACATAAAATAAAATTTCTGATCCTTAGGATTGATGGCAATGTCAGTAGAAAACTGACTGCTATTTGGCTGATGCGATTACCAAAATAAATACTTGCTCTAAAGCAAAAGAAAGTGGGTAGAAGGGCTAACAGCTAATCCGATATTACCAATTTGAGGAGCTCATCGTCTATGGGCTCTATAACAACGAAAATTCCGCATACCTTGAGATAGAAGTTCTAAAACTCAGTTTTACGGTACAATGGCTACCCCATCCTTCAAACCAAAAGGCATTTTACGGCAGAAGTAGGCAGTGTGGTAGTTAGTACCTACTAGAGCAGGCTTAAAGACGCCCTGTATAAGTAAAACATTAAAGTATTGTCATATATATATATATTCTTAACTTTCAGGTGCATTCATTTCAATAAGTCTGTTTAGCCGCAGATTGCAATGGAACGACTCCGTTTTAGGACTGATTTCGAACTGTAGTAAAATAATTGGAAGCCTTGCTACTGGATTCGCTAGAAACACCCAAGAAATGTATATAGGTAAGATTGTGAATTACTCTTTACTTTTACTGTCCTGAAATTGCTTAGGGCATTTTTATTCAGTCTGAAAATCACACGTAATTAATTACAATCTGAAATTTAACCCTGCTGAGTATACACGCGGAAGAATTCTAATAGGATTTCAATACTTTCCTGCCTGTATTAGCCAAAAGCACCCTGACGATATCTGCTACAAAGTGGACAACAAAGATACTAGTATTCCCGTACGGTTGAGACTCAGATTTTAAGTATTTTTTTTAATTTTTAATGTTCAGACTCCAGTGACCAGCTGGATTTTGAGCTCTCATACCCAAGACTATCATGCCCAGAAAAAAGCAATATAATAAACAATTCATTTTTAAGTAAACGGAAAAGGAAAGTAATCTCAATAATTAATTTCAGCTGTCGCAATAGAAACTTTCAATGCTACTTCTTTCACAGCCATGAGATCTATTTCATCCAAACTAGTCTCAAGTGATGAACTGGGTACGTAAGGATTTTTTTTACTGATTCCTAATTATTAAGGCCATTCCGAAGGTCTGTTTATTTTGGCGGTAAAATTATCAATAATCGTATTTATTCCTGGTTTTAATATTGAAATTTATCGTTTAATTTTATCGTAATTGATAGCGTATTATAAAAATAAAGACTAGTCGTGTTCGTCTTTCAATGCATCAGTGACTATTACTATCAAAACTCTTTTATTAATCAAAATGAAAAAACCCGGTTATTTGCACATAATTCCAATATTAATATGACAAAATGACCTATACCTTTAGATAAAAACATCTAACTACAGCCCACTATTCCATTGACAGATGAACTAAGATGATTGACAGAATAGTTTGGATGCACAAAATGAAAGTTCATTTATTGAGCTTTTTTTTTTTATTTCCCTTGTAGGCAGACGAGCATACGGCCCACCTGATGGTGAGTGGTTACCGTCACCCATGGACTTCAGCAATGCCAGGGGCAGAGCCAAGCCGCTGCCTACCGCGAAATGTTATATCCTGAGCTATTTGTTATATCCTGTAGTATATAAACAAGGATATAGCGTACCCTCATATCTTCAAAGTATTCCATAGCATTGACAACAACAATATAATAATATGCTTTGTCATAAATGTCTCCGTCATTTAAATTTACCTTTATTTGAAATTACATGCTCCTTTTTGCTTCCAGGAAAAATGATTTCAGTTTTTAATCTTATAGAAGTCTTGACGTCCATGACGTTTAGTCCGCTTTATTCTTGGATCTACATGTTCACCGTTAAAATAAATGCCGGTATTATTTATTACGTCAGCACTATTCTGGCTGTGCCACCTGTAATCATTTTCGGGTTTGTATTGCATAATGAAATTTCTTTATCATTAAAAACCATTTTTATTAAATACTAGTTGACCCGGCAGACTTCGTGGTGCCTCAATCGACAAATAAAAGACCTAAACTTTTGTATAAAATAAACTTAAAACAAACAAAAGCAATCCGTCCAACGGGGGACACATCAAAGGGAAAACAACAATGTTATTTTTTTTTAATTCGGAGCATTTTCATATTTATCTACCTTTTAAACCTTCTCTGGACTTCCACAAACAATTCAAGACCCAAAATTAGCCAAATGGGTCCAGCCGTTTACGAGTTTTAGCGAGACTAACGAACAGCAATTCGTTTTTTTATACATATAGATAATATAATGAAGTGAAATATCCAATGCCAAAAACATTAAGACTCTAAAAAGATACACGAATTATAATAATCTTATTTTTATGTTCAATCCAGAAAAAACATTAACTTGAAATTCTATTTACAGATGGTTCTATCTACAGCATAAAAAGAGTTGTCAAAAAACGAAATGTACCATTATTATTGAGCGGCTAGAGAAAATCGATATTGACAGTGACAAAATCAAATCAAAGAATGACAACACATGATACACAGAATCAACAAATAGAAATTTTGTAATAATAATATTTGGAGAATTCAAAGTAATAAATATTTATATTGTAAAGTATAATAATATGTGAAAACATCTTGTTTATTTAACTGAAAGCAACTATAAACTGAGTTGTAATTCTGAAGGGCAAGTGATGATTATAATTTAACCTTGCACCGAAATTTCCTTAGTATGTGTTACATAATTTATAAACAATTGGTTTATTTAAATAAAGTGTCATTAGATACGTCTCCGTACTCCTTTTTCTTATATGTTTAAACGTCTTAATAACTCAAGTGATTACATAAAAAGGATTGTACAGGATATATTTTTTTATCTATGCAATAGCCAACCGATATTATATTGCCATAGCCAACTATGAGGTTAGTCAAGAAAGTAGCTTTAACATTTTGTATGATATTTTCAATGACGTCATATTATTATTTATTATTAATTCTAATATTATTTATTAATATTCAAACTACATATCAATACCCATCCAATCTATGATCCGTATTCGATTTTTATTTTTATTTTCTAAATAAGCTCTTCCACTAGGGATTCTATCTCAATGTTTTACAAAATGTCTTCAATCATCGCGAAATCTATTGATTGGATGGATGAGAACGAAGAGGATGAACGAATTTTCTCTGTACAACTTTCAGGTATATTGCTTAAGCGACTGACTAGATGGTTCAGTGGTTAGCGGCCATGATTGTTGCGCCTCGGGTCGTGGGTTCGATTCCCACTTCGGGCAAACATTCGTGTGATGAACAGATTATTTACTCTTTGTTTGGCAGTTTACTATCTATATATGCCCATATTTAATTAAATGTACATAAGTATGTATATCAGTTTCTGGTACCCATAACATAGGGAATACTAAATTGGGACTGGGATGACCGTGCGTGATTTGATAATTTTTTTTGTTTTTTTTTTAATGCCCTTTTAGGCAGACGGAGCATCCGGCCCACCTGATGGTGAGTGGTTACCGTCGCCCATGGACTTCAGCAACGCCAGGGGCAGAGCCAAGCCGCTGCCTACAAAGTTCCCAGTTCTTTATTTATTTGTTGACGTAATAATTTGTGTCAAGTCATTAAACGATTTCCTAGTTCTTCTTCACATACACGACCTTTGAAATTATTACAGTAATGTACTTGTACTGTAATAATGTACTTAATTTATTAACATCAATTTGGACGATGATAATAATTGAAATCTAGGTTATAGCCAACCTAGTATTGTTATAGGCGCCCAGATCTTATATGAGAGAGAAATCACAACTACTCTGGGTGTATGTATGTTCGGAATACACATAAAATACTAATATATCTATTAATATATTAGTATTTTATGTGTATTCCGAAATTTCCTATAAAATTAAGGACTGATTAAATTCAAAGCAAGAATTATCTATTGTGACGAAACTGATAAAAGAAACACGATATAAATGTAATTTACCCTGATATCTTAATTTATACTCGTAGTATTAGATTTGGTAATTGTTGATAAAATAGACTACAACTTAAAAAAGTCTGTCCAATTCCAACCACTAACATTAGTAGAGTCCTATTCAATAGGTTTTTTTTTTATTTTTACAATTTTTTTACTGGTGGTAGTAGGACATCTTGAGTCCGCAGGGTAGATATCACCACCCTGCCTATTTCTACCGTGAAGCGGTAATGCATTTCGGTTTGTAGTGTAGGGCAGCCGTTGTACTGTTAAAACTGAGACTTAGAGCTTATGTCTCGAGGTAGGTGGCGGCATTTACGTCGTAGGTGTCTATGGGCTCCTATAACCACTTAACACCACGTGAGCCGTGAGCCCACCCACCCTATTAAGCAATAAAAAAAATAAAAAAAACCTTATGTTTAAACGCGGAAAAACTATACATAATTTTAATTATTCCAAAGACACATAATATTTGCCTCGGCACAGTGCGCAAGTAGAGTATCAAAGAACAAATATGCCGAGGATTGATTGTAATATCTTATTTACAGTCGCTATCTTTACATCACATTGCAGTAGCTAACCAAACACAGAACGCAAACATTAAGTAATTATTTTCAATTAAAATACATTTTTTGTACAGGAGGTTGCTATAAAAATTTTAATAAATTTAACTTCTTCATAATCATCGCTTATATTACTTATTATGATTTTCTTAAGTCGTTCTTGTTCGTTTTTGTGTTTTTTCTTAAGTTGGTTTTCTTAATTCAATAGCATGAAATAAAATAGTTGACTTGTCCGTATGTGGGCTTAATTCTTTTAAACCATACAACAACATTTTGATTGGATTTCACCGTTGCTTACGCGATTTAATTCAGAAGACTTGTATATTTTTATTCTATCATCACCGTGGGAACGGACCATATTATTCTCCTGATGGTGAGTGGTTATCGTTGCTCATGGACTATGCAATAGCAGAGGCATAGCGAAGCCGCTGACTAACAGAACTATGTTCTTGACGCATTAGATAGTGAATAAACTTATACAGTCGTAGTTTCCATTACTTAATCTATATACTTAAAAAAATAATTTATTATTTTCATCTTTTTTCTGTAACTGGTATTTTGAGAACGGCAACATAATAATATTTTAATAAACTGTGTGTCTGTGTGTATTAATCGGCTAAATTAAAATTGAACTGGTGGGTAGACCTTTTGTGAATCTATTCCGGCACCACTATTCTGCCGAATTATACCGTAAAACAGTCATGTTTTTTGGATCGCAGTGTAGGGTCGTCGTAATGCTATACAATAGAGATTTCAACCCATGCCTCAAGATAGGGAGGCTGCATTTACGTGTGTGGGCTACGGTAACGCCACTTAATACCAGATAAATTATGAGTTTGTCTACCATAATATAGAAATTTGAAGTCGTCGTGGCCTAAAAGATAAAACGTCCAGTGCATTCGTATGTAGCGATGCACCGGTGTTTGAATCCCGCAGGCGGGTACCAATTTTTCTAATGAAATACGTACTCAACAAATGTTCACGATTGACTTCCACAGTGAAGGAATAACATCGTGTAATAAAAATCAAACCCGCAAAATTATAATTTGCGTAATCACTTGTGGTAGGACCTCTTGGGAGTCCGCACGGGTAGGTACCACCACCCCGCCTATTTCCGCCGTGAAGCAGAAATGCGTTTCGGTTCGTAGGGCGGGGCAGCCGTTGTAACTATACTGAGACCGTAGAACTTATATCTCAAGGTGGGTGCCGCATTTACGTTTTAGATGTCTATGGGCTCCAGTAACCACTTAACATCAGGTGGGCTTTGAGCTCGTCCATCCATCTAAGCAATAAAAAAAAAAGTCTGAAATTAATTATGAAACGAAAATTAATCACAAATAAAACGGAACAAGCTATATGTGAATGTGTCTATAAATTATTTTATAGGCACAGAGTGAAATGAACTCTCACGCGTGATAATGTTCTGGTATCAGTATACTCTAAGCTATCTCGAGACGAAGACAATAAAATGTCAAGTGAAAATACAAAGGAAGAAATCAACGAACAAGTACCAATTAATGAAAAAGATAATGTGAACAATAAAGACGAATTCGAGAATCGGAGTTTCTTTGATAAACTGTGCGAAATCAAATCTAACATAACAGTGGAGCCAATTTTCGCGGGATTAATTATACCTTCGACTTTGGCCAGATTGGCGATACAAAACTTGAATTTAGACAAAGCATGCCGCGTCAAATCACAGTTCGGAGATGTTGTCTGCGACGCACTGATCGAACGGAAAGGCAATTACACAACTCAAGAAGCCGAGATCCAGCAAATAATTTCACATATTGAATCATGGAGGACTATTATACAGACCGCCATACCCACACTTCTGGTTATCTTCATGGGAGCTTGGAGCGACAGGACGGGCAACAGAAAAATTTGCATACTCCTCCCAATCTTCGGTGAATTTATGGTCTGCGTGAGCAATGTATTGAGCACTTACTTCTTTTATGAGATTCCAGTCGAAATCACAATGTTCCTAGAAGCGATATTCCCAGCCATCACCGGAGGTTGGGTTTTAGTATACTTAGGAGTATTCAGCTACATAAGTGATATTACAGATGAGAAGTCGAGGACGTTTCGAGTGGGCTTAGTGAATCTATGCTTGACGGCCGGAATTCCTATTGGTACAGCTCTTAGTGGAATTTTATTGAAATACTGGGGCTATTATGGCATTTTCTTTTCATCCGGCTCATTGTATTTCGCTACGTTTTTATACGGCTATTTCTATTTAGAAAGTAACACGAAACCTAATGCTGGAAGCGATGAGAAGGTAAGAAATATTTTTAATAAATCCCATCCTAATATCAATTTAAACACGTCCATGGTGTAATTGATAAGACGCCCGAAATAAATAATTCAACTTGAACGTAGTTCAAATAGTTTTAAAGTTTATTTTCTAAATAAATACAATCATACCTAATATGATTGAACCACTTACAGACTTTTTGCCTAATTTACGGATCATAGACTATTGGTGTAAGTCCTAGGCATTAGTCTAAGGCACAACCATCCTGTCTATCTCTGTCCAAGTATCTATTAGGGATAGGGCAACCGTAGAGGTTTCTATCACGTTTAATTCATAACATTATATCTTAATCACACAACGAACTTGTTCAAACGTGTACTTGTTCATTTGTATTATCAATTTGCACCACAACTTGTATTGCATTTAGATTATTTCAAAAACAAACAAATGAGCTAACTTTCTTTAATAGTTTTTTTTATTTCCTTTTCAGCCTAAGCCGGTATCTTGTTTTGATCTAGTATCGCTAGTGAAAGAAACTGTTTCTGTCGCTTTCAAGAAACGTCAAGGGAATTTTAGATCAAAAATAATACTGACTTTGTTAGTAGTCGCCATAATATATGGACCCGATCATGGTATGTACATTCACTTCTCTATAGAAGCATTTACGTGAGATGTCTTATTGGAAAGTATTTTTAAAGGCAGATTATAGGAGACATAATAGAAGAGATTATAGAAATTCAGATCGATAGGACTGACATAGATAGCAAAAATTCCAAGTGGTTTGGTACTATGTAAGTTCCCAAAAACAGCGCAATGCAAATACGACCTTCAGAACTAAATTATAAGATCGAAGTTTCTTTTGTTATATGCATTGAAACAATCTATCTCACCCATAAATAAGTAGCATAGGAGTTACTATTCCACTAAAATTTCTAAATTTCTGTTTACAGGTGAAAGAATAATTACGTATCTATATTTGAGATACAAATTAAAATGGGATGCAGTTAAATACAGTTTATATTCAACCTACAGTATCATTACACATTCTTTCGGTAAGTAATCCATTCTAACATTCTGTACTAGCTTTTTTACATTGTACATTACGGGTTCAAATACCCTTGTCAGCAGCAGGATGAAAAGTACCGTATATTCTTTCTCAAATGTCTATTTCAAGAACGAATCTTATCAAAATCGGTTAAGCGGTTTCGGTTTGAAACCATAACAAACGTTACTATCGCACTGATATAATGACTTTATTTACTTACCATGTTACTTCTTAAATCATAAATCATTTCTAGAATCATAACAATTTAAAAGTAAAATTCATAATACATTTATTTCAACAGTCGATTTTAACAAAGCCTGTTCTCGCGCAATTTAATATCAGTCTACCTACAAAAAACTACATGATAATCCGTTTCATAATTAACAAACAGACGGTACAAACAAAGGATTATAAATATCCCTTGTCTATCTCTATTACTCTTCTCCGATTATTTTTTTATTATTATTAGTATGATTACGTTTCTTCAATATACAGGACACACCGATATCTACTGTTTTACTGTACGTATTGATTAGTTGATATTCTCGGTATTAACAGAGAAGCTCAACACGGTCCGTCACAAAGTATGAAACCCTGATTTTATGGTAAAAATTTAATACACAGACACAGCCCACTGAGTTTCTCGCCGTATCTTCTCAGTGGGTCGCGTTTCCGCTCTGGTTGTAGATTCTGCAAAGCACTGCTCTTGCTAGGGCCAGTGTTAGCAGCACTACGGTTTGAGCCCAAGCTGAAATAGCCTCTCAAGGCTATCAGCATAGGTAGGTTAAAAAAAGAAAAAAAAAAGTTAAAAATATTGTATGGCAAAAATCAAACGTGAAAAATTTATAAAGTTACAAAATGCTGGTGGTTGGGCTTATTGTAAGCCCCTACAGTAATATGTCAGTATCCTGCCTATATCTCCCACCATTTAATTACGGCAGTTTTATTCTAAAACTGGAATCCCAAAACATAATGAGCACTAGACTTGTATCAATAAGCGATAGGACTAGACAAGATCAACCTTTTATTAAATAGAAACGATATTTCATTGTTTTTTATGTCTATTGCAGTGAAAAGGCCCTGCTGACCTTTCCTTGTTTTAAATCTTTCTATTACAATAACAGGTCCTCAAATATCTTAAGATTGAATACTATACCTAATAGTATTTAAAAATATTTTTTTATTATATTAATTAAAATATAAATATATAATACAGAAATATTTTTACAGGGGCACTTATCTCCATCAGTGTCTTCAGTAAGCGTTGGGGATTCCACGATTCAGTGCTATGTCTCATCTCGATCCTAAGCAAATTGGCTGGCAGTATTAGCATGATATTCGTCGAAACCGACTTCCAAATGTACACGAGTAGGTATTTAATCTAAAGAAAAAAATCGCAAGTGGTCGAGACTTATACTAAAAGACGTCTGTACGTGTTCTCGTATCGGGCGATGCAATTAAGCCGATGTACAAATCCCGTAGACAGCTAGATGCCAACTTTTTAAGGAACTATGTACTTAAAAACGTATCCACAAATAATGATCACGATGAAGAGACAACAACGTGCAATCAAAAAGACCTATTCCTACTGTAAGGCAGCCATACGTTCTAGTAGGAAACAGTATAAAATTGCTGGGTAATATAATTGTAATTTCGACCTCACATCTCAAGGTAGAAGAGAGCATTCATGTCGCATTATCTATAGGTTCCGGTAATTACACATCATCATAGTGTTGGCTTGTGCAAACGCTTATGCCGTAAATGGGTGATAAAACGCCTGCACTAACCATATATGCAAATATGTTATATTAACATTTTAAAGTTCTTATATATTTTGTCCGCAGTTCCAATTGTAGAGATATTGAATGCAACCACGTATACTTCACTGAGATCGTTAGCTTCAAAACTTATTCCTAGCGAAGAGATGGGTAAGGACAATTAAAAAATATACACTTGTAGATAAACGTTATCGTATCGTTATCGTTATCGTGATTCAAATATAAATGTCAGGGTACGTATTATTAGATATAAATTTCAGTGTTTTTAAGAATTAATATGCTGTTTTATGTTTTGTCTATATAAGTTGGTGATGGTGGTGGTGAATTTAGCCCACTGAGTTTCTCGCCGGATCTTCTCAGTGGGTCGCGTTTCCGATCCGGTGGTAGATTCTGCGAAACACTGCTCTTGCTAGGATCAGTGCTAGCAACACTCCGGTTTGAGCCCCGTGAGCTCACCTATCCACGTTAGGGTGAAGCTGAAGTAGCCTCTCAAGGCTATCAGCATAGGTAGGGAAAAAAAAGGTGGTGAATCGTTTTCCCCGTTGGGCCATAGACAATTACATCATCTATAATATAAGCTGCTTTTATCTATACGTATTATCAATTTACTTGGATAAAAATGACTCCATAGAGCCTTACCGTTCAGGGGCAAAGTAGAAGACACCAGACCGCGTGGAAGGCTGCCTATGCGATGGACCGACCGAGTCATATCGGCAGATAACTTTTTTACTGATGGTAGGACCTCTTGTGAGTCCGCACGGGTACGTACCACCGCCCCGCCTATTTCTGCCGTGAAGCAGTAATGCGTTTCGGTTTAAAGGGTGGGGTAGCCGTTGTAACTATACTGAGACCTTAGAGCTTATATCTCAAGGTGGGTGGCGTATTTACGTTGTAAATGTCCATGGGCTCCAGTAACCACTTAACACCAGGTGTCACTGCTGCTGTGTCACTAGCACGGAAACTTTCGTACTTTTGCAAAAGCTTCTCAATGGCCAACGGAAGCTGGATAAAGCTTTACCTTAATCGAATTAAATACGTGTGAGCGGTTAGGTCTCAATTAATGCACTTCATCGATGCGCTGTTTTAAATTATTGCTATGATAACACTAATGCGTTTTCAAATATTTTCAGGTAAAATGAACTCTTTGTTCAGTCTGGTGGAGACATTGGCAGCTCTGGTATTTGACCCCACATATTCGACGATATACGCGCGTACTGTATCAGTATTCACTGGAGCCGTATACCTTTATAGCTCCCTCATGAGTATTCCAGCTATAGCCATTTTACTGTAAGTCTAGTTTCCAGATGTAATGGTTGAAACCAGAACCCAAAGTGGGTGGCGTCAGTCCTTTTCGTGGAATTCGGTAACCACTAACCCAAGTAGGGCATATCCTAGCTTTGTCTGTTTAAAGTAGTCAATAAATATTGCTTTTATTTATTTATTGCTAGATGGTTGGACGACCTCACAGCCTACCTGATGTTAAGTGGTTACTGGAGCCCATAGACATCTACGACGTAAATGTGCCACCCACCTTGAGATATAAGTTCTAAGGTCTCAAGTATAGTTACAATGGCTGCCCCACCCTTCAAACCGAAACGCATTACTGCTTCACGGCAGAAATAGGCAGCGCGGTGGTACCTACCCGCGCGGACTCACAAGAGGTACCACCAGTAATTACGCAAATTATAATTTTGCGGGTTTCATATTTATTACACGATGTTATTCCTTCACCGTGGAAGTCAATCGTGAACATTGCTTGCACGTGTTAAGGTTGCACTTCACAAGTTTTTTACTGGTTTATCACTTAGGAGTAAGTTAATTATGATGAAGAGACTATGCGTTACTGAAAAAAAAATCTATTATTCCATAATTCTGCATATATCAATTCTATATAAATAAATCTAACGTGGTAGTTCAGAATGGTTGGCTAATTCCTTAGACACGTCATCACCGTGATGACATAGTACCTTTCAGACTTCATCTCATTGTTTACATATGTTCCTTTTGGATTGTTGACATAAAATAATAATTGAATCTCTTTACAGATGGATCTTCATAAAACATAGGCTGGAATTACGAAATCCCGAGAAAGAAATCGAGCTGAATAATAGTTCCTAACAATACCGTATCTACTTAAACTACATATATCAACATTATTAGATGACTATCTTGCTAGATACAATAGGGAACAATTTTTTGTTAAGGGAAACCATTTCGAAGCAGAAACGACAATAATCAACCTCAAGTGCAATATTAAATATCTGATTATGTTAAGCTAGGCTTAAGTGCTATTTCATTTTAGCAACTTAATTCACTCGATATTATCTATAGCAAAGACAGTATGTGTTAATCAACCTATAGGTGAGTCAGCCACATTTTTTATTGTTAAAATTTGTTTACATTACATAATTTATTAGCGACATTTCTACTAAGACCAGTTTTATTATTTTATCGTATCGGAAATAAGCCATACTACTTTTTATGCGTCACTTAAGTTGGCAAATTTTATTACATTCACTAATAGTTTTAAACATATGTCCAATAAATATATTTTTGTTATAAGTAATCTTTTTTTTTTCTACCTATGACGATAGCCTTGAGAGGCTATTTCAGCTTCATCCTAACATGTAGGTGAGCTCATAGGGCTCAAACCGGATATGTTGCTAACACTGGCCCTAGCAAGAGCAGTGCTTCGCAGAATCTACCACCGGATTGGAAATCCACTTAGAAGATCCGGCGAGAAACTCAGTGGGCTGTGTCTATAGGTTAATTCGCTCGTCGAGCCCTTCTTCGCAAGCAACGGGTTCGACGAGGAGGGTGACCGGCACAAAAGTAGCCTCATAAATGTCGGAGATGGTCATTAATTTGGTAGCTAAACAAAACGCAGCACGATTCCCGAGAGATGGCAGCACGATTGCGATATCGTCGGAACTTGGCTAACTTCGTGCTACGACAGGGCCTAGCCGATGGAGGCGCGTAGACGCCATCACACTTAACAACCAGTCATCTTGAAGAGCGGTGCCTCCGTCCTAAGAACTGTCATTCGTTTTCGTTTGCTAACGTCAAGAGAAGATTTCTAAATTGTTTTATGACAACAACCGTGATTGGTGTACTGAATATTTATCTTAGCTCGATCACCCTATTCACCTCTATGATGTCTGACAATGGTGTTAATAGTGTGGCTTCTCCGACATATACAAAATTTCAAACCATAATAATACTTTTTTACAAAAACCGCAAGCCAGTTTCATTTCCAGAAAACCGGTATTTCAATTTCTCGCTTTCGTTTAACATTTATTTATCGCTCGAAATCCAAATAAACTATTTTCAAATTGGGTTTTAATTTAGTGATCGCCTCGTTAGTTTAGTAGAGTGACTCGAATTACCTCAGAGTGGGAGTTCTGTTTAACGAAATTGGTACAGGATCTTAGAGTCTTCCCTTTGTCTCGAATCTATGGTAGCTACTTAATACAAAGTGGATCGTCTACCTAACCAGAAGATTTGTTCTTAAAGTTCTAGTAAGTAAACACATTAGCGATATATATATTTATAATCTGGTATGTTTATTTAAAAAAGGAATAAATCCATTGAATCCAATACATCCATTTTGTAGTCATAATGGGCAAAAGAATAAGACGTCCGGTGCATTCGTGATTAGCGATGCCCCGCTGTTCGTATACCGCAGGCGGGTACCAATTTTTATAATACGTACTTAATAAATGTTCACAATTGACTTCCATGGTGGAGGATTAACATGGTGTAATAAAAATCAAACCCGCAAAATTACAATTTGCGTAATTACTGGTGGTAGAACCTCTTGTGAGTCCGTACCATACCACCACCCTGCCTATTTCTGCCGTAAAGCAGTAATGCGTTTCGGTTTGAAGGGTGGAGCAGCTGTTCTAATTATACTGAGATCTTAGAACTTATATCGCAAGTTGGGTGGTGGCATTTACGTTGTATATGTCTATGGGCTCCGGTAACTACTCAACATCAGGTGGGCAGTGAGCTCGCCCACCCATATACGCAATAAAAAAAATCATAATGATTTCAGTAACACAGTTTAAATGTTGAATATGAAATAAAAGTAATTTCTCATGAACTATTATTGTAGGTGTATTTATATACACAAATATACAGTTTCAACTAACGCTACAATATTTACGAGGTGCGCCTGATATCGTAGACCCACGTGTATTCTGACAACATTCTTTCATCCCAATTTAGGTACAGTCAAATGGAGAATAACATTTGTATACAATATCTTAAATTTTATAATCCTACTAGCTGTACCCGTCCCCTTCGCTGGGCATTTAAAATTAACAATATTATTTCTCACCCACACAAAGATTCTCATCATTAACGCCCCCGCAACTGGTGTAGAGAGTCCAACACTCATATATACATTAGCCTATCCATTAAGTACATGTATTTTCTACATGGATACTAAGTTTCAAGTCAATCGGATACATGGTTCAGTAGTTATAACGGAACATCCGTAAAAACCCCTGTAGATTTATATATTAGTATAGATAAGCATTTGAATTTTATTAAAACATAATAGATGGTGGCGTGTTACGAATACCGTAGAGTGCCATGACAACTGGCTAGTCCATTTTAAAGGAGCCAAACCACCGTAAAATACTCTTCCATATGCCGGGAATGTGTTATGAGCTTCTTCGGACACATCATGCGGTCTCCCAACATGAATTAGAGAAGCACATAATTACGGGTCGCATACAGGACAAGCGCGCCGTGGGCAGAACACCAACTAGATGGTCAGATCTAGTAAGAGAAGCACTTGGTGGTAGTCTGTGCCATGCGGTCCGTGCCACCCATGATCGAACACAGTGAAGAAACGGCGCATGTGGTCGCGATCCTCAGCAGTGTGGGAACGATATAGAAGAAGATGGTAGGGGTGGGTTTATTTGATACCCAATCTCGGCGGTCTGTGTTGGAGGCGTGGTCTCGCCGCTTGGCGGACCCGTCGGCCGGTCTCCGGACCGTCGAGGCGGTGCGCTCGGTCCTCGCGGAATGGGCGAACCGTGACCAAGGGAGTCTCACCTTCCGGTTGACGCAAATGTTTACCGGCCATGGGTGTTTCAGCCGGTACCTGCATCGTGTCGCCCGGAGGGAACCGACGATGGAGTGTCACCACTGTGACTGCGACGAGGACACGGTCGAGCATACGCTCGCACATTGCCCCGCATGGGTGGAGCAACGCCGTGTCCTTGTCTCGCAAATAGGACCGGACTTGTCGCTGCCGACTGTCGTGGCTACGATGCTGGGCAGCGATGAGTCCTGGAAGGCAATGCTCGACTTCTGCGAGTACACAATCTCGCAGAAGGTGGCGGCGGAACGAGAGAGGGAGAGCTCATCCCTCTCCGCACCTATCCGTCGCCGCCGAGCCGGGGTCGTAGAAGGGCTTTTGCCCGACTTCGGCCCCTGTAAGAGGCGAACTCCCCCCGATGAAGTTCAAGGGGCGACCTGAGGGGGTAGAGGCCGCGCGGCGCGCTACCAGCACTCTAGCGCACTGCCGTGGAGTAATAGAGCGACCGGTCGACGGTGTATCGTGTCCCGACCCGGCAGGCTGGTTCTGGTCCAGAGGGGTATTCCGGAAAATCAGCGGCACCGTCTGGGCGGCCCGACGGGCTGCCGTACCGAGACGGCCGACGTATCAGAGCCTTCGATTCGCCTCGAAGACTCCGTCGGCTGGGCGTCCTTGGGGTGAGCTGCGCCGTCTGGTTGTAGTGTTTACCGCGGTAATCAAATGGGACCAGTAGTTCCTGAGATTAGCGCGTTCAAACAAACTCTTCAGCTTTATAATATCAGTATTGATATAATATTTACACTTATATTCAGCTTGCTAATATAATGACAATTATAGTCTTAAATATTCATTCATAGTGGTCCTTTATTTCAAGATTCAACCACCAGTAAATACTGTAAAATGGTCGAACAGCGTTCGAGAAGTTAAATCGTGAAATAAAAGTGTCACGTTCGAATCCCGTCACAGAAAATGTTTTTTTTATAAAATCATAACATGTAATGTTTGTCAAAGTTTACTTTATAAAAATCAAACTTTTTTTTTAATTGAAGTTCTAAAATGGAATAACGTCATCTATTGTGATCGTAAAGAAATACAATTTGCGTATTTACTGGCCGCGTAGCTACTTTCGGAAACCGTGCATAGCACCCTACCCGTTTCTGTCGCGAAGAAGTAACATGTTCCCATTTTAAGGGTGGGACAGCCGTTAATATAGACTTAGAACTCATGCCTCAAGGTCACAAGCGTCATACACGTGATTATGTTTAGGACTCATATAACCACTTAACACCATGTGAGTTCATTCCCTGTCTACGCACAAAAAAAATCACTATACTATCCAAGCACTTTTGCGGCCATCTTTACATATAAAGAACGTATTAAATTATATCAAAGCTTATGTCGGCGAAATTCAAAGCTAAATCTAGACTTAGATGTAGCGAATACACACACACACAATACGAATATTCCCTTTTATGTATATTAGTAGCCTGATATAAGGTCAAGTTAAACTGCCAAGCCAGACGTTCCCAACATTTTGTAGCTTATTTGTTTTTTTTTTTTAAATAATATAATATCTTTGCCTATGGTGTTGTGATTTTACAATACTGGTCATTTGTTATGTAATCAATTCAAATGATTTTTTATTTTGAAAACATGGAATTCTGTTTTCAAATTCAGTCATTTGTTAATTGCTTAGTGTTTTATTATCACTATATTTGTATACCTTTTTTTATTGCTTAGATAGGTGAACGAGCTCACAGCCCATCTTGGGTTTAAATGGTTCTTGGAGCCCATAGTCATCTACAACGTAAATGCACCGCCCATCTTGAGATATAAGTTCTAAGATCTCAGTATAGTTACAGCGGCTGCCCCACCCTTCAAACCGAAACGCATTACTGCTTCACGGCAGAAATAGGCGGGGTGGTGGTACCTACCCGCGCGGACTCACAAGAGGTCCTACCAACAGTAAAAAGATAAAATACCTTTCGTCAGTTTGGACACGATACAAATACGAGTATATATAGAATACGGGCTCCGTCGCAGTAGCAATTACAAACAAATGGCTCACAGCATTGATGACGTGTACTTAGTTAATACTACAAACGAACGCACGACTCGTCATTGGTTTGAATGGTTCCGACATAGAAATGTTGATCCAAAAAATGAACCCCGTGGTTCTGGAAAACCAAGCTCAACGAGATAGTGGAAGCTGACGACACTCAATCTACCGCTGAGTTAGTAGCAGCTTACAATGATAGCATCGAAACAGTATTGGTCAATTTGGGTAAACATGACAAGCTAAAAAAAACTTGGTAAGTGGGCAATGCACGAACTAAAAGATCTCCAGGACGAAGAATGTGTTAAGGTTGCTTTGTGTTGCTAAAGAAACAAAGAAACTAAGAGATTTCGAACTGCATTGCCGCTTGTGATATAAAGTGTTATATTTTTGATCACCGTAAGCGGACACCATCTTGGTTAG